CTTAATAATTAAGAATCTCAATAACTTCTGTTATTAAACAACAACTTTTAAAATACAACACGATAATTAAGTTTTAACATTTGGTAGCTACATACCATACCATACACATACCATACCAATGTTTTTAAAATTGCTCAATATTTTTTTACTAATTTACAATGTTAAACATTCTGGAACAGAAATGACCAGATGACTAATTACAGGAATTTTATTAATACATAATTGTTGGCAACAGTTATTTGTCCATGAAACATGGATGTAGAGTGGGTATTTTTTATAATCTTTTATCAAACAGGATCTTTTAGTATGCTATCCTTGTTTTATTAAGCAGGATCTTTTAGCCTGCTCTCCTTCTTTTAAAATATTTTTTGCTTGAAAATGTTTTGCACATATAACAGATGAGTTAGTTGGCATACAGTTTAGCATATTTACAATTAATAAACATCATTTAAACTTTTTATGGTTTGTAAATATTCATTGATATTGACAAAATTTTTTGTAACTTTTTATGGTTTGTATTTCTACATTGACATTAAATAAAAATACCGTCACTAAATCTTGTTTTAAATCGTTTAATAAATAGCCAACAAGACAACTTTCAATATTCTTTGTTCTGCTAACAGAACTTTTAGTTTATGTTGTGCCATTATAACACTTTCATTCAAAACCGCAAGATGTTAGAATCAAAAAACTATTCCGACGTCTAAAGTTTTGGGTAAATTAATGACCCGATAATAAATGAATGTTTTTAATAATTGCGTAGCGTAAAAAATAAAGTTTAAATTTATAATTTACTTCATCATAGATTTGTGCAGTGTAGTCTTGTGACTCATAATTTTGCCTTGTTGCCTGGCAACGCGTGATTTATTCCTCTTGAGCGCTTATGTTTTTGTGTGTACTTTTAAGTTATATTTTATAATATTTCGTTCTAGTTATATGCGTAATGTCTATGATTGTTGTTAATAAAAAGTTGTATTGTTTATAAAATTTTATCTATTATAAAAATTGCGAAGTGTGCAAACGTATACTGACTTAAACATGTAGAACAAGCAGGAAGTGTACATACATCAACTGACTAAATAGATAGAACATGAAGAGAGTGTACATACATTGACTGACTAAATAGATAGAACATGCAGGCTGTGTACATACATCGGCTAATTAAATAGATAGAACATGCAGGGTGCGTACATACACCGACTACGGGTTTCGGTTTGGACAGGCAATAAGTTAAAAAAATAAATTTTGTTAAAAAGTGTTTACAAATTAATGCTAAAACTTATTTTGTTATATTTCGGTCATCAATTTACACAAAACTTCATACATCGGAATAGGTTTTTGATTCCAAAAAACTGGCCTTCTATTTTTTCGACAAAAATGCAGTATATTAGGCCGTATACTTTAAGTAGGCCATAGTTACACCTTTAATTTTGCAATGTTAAATTGTAGAGTGCAAATTAAATTTCGTGAAAAAATTTTGTTCGTAATTTTTGGTTGGTTACAGCTAGTTGATTTTATCATTTTTTGAAATAGGGGTCATTCTCCCCTAAAATTATTTTATCGTCGTCAAAAACATGCGACCCGCAGAATTAACTATGGTAATTATTTTACACATATTAAACTTTTTTTTTACTAAAATGAAATTATTAAATTTAACTCAATGTATTTATGTTTTATATATTTATGGAGAAATAATGACCCCCTCCCCCAACGTTTTTAAAAATACTTTTAAACTTAGACCTTACAAAAATACGATACGAGAATTTTTTAAATGAGTCGTTTTGTCACGCAAAACGTTATAAAGTTTGTGTTGCTTATCATGGACTTCACCCATAGCCATAGGCGTATTATTCCATATGGAATAATATTGTGTTTGCAAAATTTTAAAGCAACTTCCTTTTGTTTTTTTAAGCTCAACCTAAAAAAATGTAAACATTTATTTGCTAAAATACTCGGGTATTTCTAATAGTATAAAAATTGTTATGCAACTAGAGTTTTAGTACTTTATTTTTACTTTATTTTTTAATATATTATACTTATCTTATACTGGACTTAGTAATATTTTATAAGGTTCTGACAATAAAATATTATTATACTCTTTTAGATCCTATTCTTTTTTTCTTTTAACTTTATTTAGGTGCCCCAAGAAGTCCTTACGGTCTTATCACAGAGCACCGTGGATGAGCATTTAATCGGAAGTTCATTCTTAACAATTTATGAATGAACGCACCAATATATTTGTATATTGTCTCACAGTCTACAGCTCGCTTATGGAATGCTGAAATCTTAAGGCTATTTGCAGTTTAAGTGACGCAGGTTTATCTTCTAATGATCTTTTATGCTTTCACAAACAATAAACGCTGATGTTTGTAACCTCAAAGAATATAGTGATTAATAAAAAAGAGGTTTTTACAGAGTTATTATTAACAACATCTGGTACAACCTCAAAGATTCAATATTCAAAAATTTAAATTTTACTTCAACTTGTAATAGCGGAATATATTTGAAAAGGAGCTATTTTTATCAGGTTCGTTAAAAAATTTAGAACATTTTGTTTGAAACCTGGTAAAAAAAGAAGTTTTACTTTTCAATTTTTCATGGCGCTTAAAACCATGTATTTTACAGATCTGTCCTTAAGTACATCAAATACATTGGAATCTAAACGTGCATCGAATACAAGCGAATCCAATCAATATTTTAAAATGTTTAGTTTTGACTCTTGAATTTATATTATATACCTTGCTACACAAATACAAACAAAATGTATCTATAGATCTACAATTATATACAATGCTCTATATACTTAGTATATTAGACACATTATATACATTATTTTTTATATACTTAGCATATTAGAAACATTTACTAAGTACATTAGAAAAAAACACATGAATTGAATATGATTACATGACATATTACATATGATTCTATTTATACTAAAGTAGATACTTTAGAATATACCAACTAATAACTAATATAGTACATAGTGCTTCCAATACCGATACCATTTTTCAATACCGGTATTTTGGTACTGAATAATTTCAATACCGGTAATACCGGTATTATATCGGTATTAAACTTTTTTTAAATTTACCATAATATGAATAAAATCTCAAGTTAATATTAAAAATTTCATTGATTCAATATGCTTATTTATTTTATATCAAAATAACTAACTTTTTTATTTTTCGCTTTTTTCTCCTTTGTAAAATGAGCCCGTAAAAAACATAGGACGTTTTGAATATCATCCTCAAAAGATGATCAAATTTTGTGATAATGTTGCCACTCGCTGAGAATCTACGCTCCAATTCAACATAAAATGTCAACAATTTTTGAACTAAATTAATGCATTTTTCAGCAGGCGACGAACCAACAACTCTCGCTAATCCAAGATTCCAACATAAAGGGTGTTCAATCTAGAAAAACTGAGAACAACGAGTTGTCGCATTAATTTTGTAAGAAATTGGTGATTAGAGGTTTAGATTTTTCGTCCGTTGATAACGGTACCAATAAAAAAAACCCGATGATGGTGCCGCATCTTGGGACAATTTCCTATTCAGCAAGTCAATTTCATGCTTAGTTTTTAGATGTGTATTCAGTACACTGGTACGCCACCATTTGATTTTATCTCTTTTTTGCACTTCTTATATATTGCAAGTTAATTTTCTTTATCAAGCAGAAAGTAAAACCACGCAGAACTTTCATCAACTCGAACAGTGCTGAACGGTTTGAATAATTTTTAGGATGTTTTATGTTTTTCTGGATATTAAGGTAATTCTATCTCTTTGACATAAAATCTTGATATTTAGTTCTTATTTCAAAATGCATAAAGTTAAGTAAGCGTAACTATAATTGCTGTTGATTCTATAACTTTACATTTATAAGTTACACCATGAAAAACAATTAATAATCTATCATCTTGACATTTTTACTAAATTAAAACCCGGTGGGAAATGAGCTAGCGACTAGCCAGCGAATATCTAGCTAGTCGCTACCTATGGATAAAAGACGCTTTAAGAAGTAATATAGTTAGTAATACGTGTTTTACACGTTTTAAACACGTTTTTTGTCATTTAGTTATCTTTATCCCACCAGGAACGTTGTTTATCGCGACTGAAAGTTTTAAATATAGGGGAAAGTGGGGCAACATGGCGAATGTTTTGAAAGGCCTGAATTATTGCAAAACTATCAGTCGTGAAGCAATAATACTTTCTCAGTATGTTTATGTTATTAGAATGATTCATTGCCTGCATAAATTTTCACTTTGCAAATCTAACAATTTGAAATAAATATTAAAATAAAAAGTTCATAAATTTGCCATCTTGTCACGTGACCGGGGCAAGATGACTTATTATGCAATTTTTACCTCCAATTTTATAAAATTTCAAAACTACCGATAAATTTAACTAAAGTAACAAAAAATATATACAAATTGTAAAAAACTACTTCTAAAGAAGTTAAACTTGAAGGACACCATCCATTATGAGAAATCGAAAGTGAGGAATTTTTTTTTAAGCGCAAAAAGTAAACTTATGCGTATAAAATTGCGTTAATAATATTTCAAAAAACCAATTGGTGTTTTAAAATATAAGACGCAAATACAGTTTTGTTTTCACCAAATTTTAAGATTTTTTGTTGAGTTGCTACACGAAAACCCATCTTGCCCCTTCGCCATGTTGCCCCGCTTTCCCCTATCATTTAATTTCGTATTTTGCGAAAATAAATCTTTCCCATCTGCTATACCTCAAGCCCTCTACATATATTTTTAATACCGGTATTGAGCCAAACCAATACCGGTATTTCGGTTTTTGAAAAAGTCCGGTACTACCGGTATCGGTACTACCGGTATTGGAAGCACTAATAGTACAGTAGATTAAAATATAGAAAAAAAATAACCAAGGATATAATAGGTAACTAAAAAGTAAGGAAATACGTAAATACGTAAATACGTAGGAAATACGTAAATACGTAGGAAATACGTAAATAAGATTACCACAAACTATGATTTAAAAAAAACCCTTTTTTTTTAAGCATACACAGCTTTAAGCAAATAAAAATATATACAATAAAACATACAAAGCAAATTCGAAAAATGTTGCCGTGAGAATTATCAGCAGTTCGTATTTTCAAAAGGCAAAAAAAAAAAAAAAAAAAGGAACAAATCTAAGCAAGGTTGCAAAATAATAAATGCGATACTAAGTCTCTTCATGTTGATAGCAGTTTTTGAAAGCACCTTACGCTAATTAAGTATTTTCGAGGATCGAAGAAAATTTCACAAACACCAAAGGTTTCAAGCGAAATGCGTTATATTGTTATAAAATTAGTCAACCAATATAAAAATCTAAAATAAAAAACCTTTTTTTTTTAATTGGTCGGTGTGGTAGTGATTGTGCTCTACCCTTTCTTATATTCATCAATACATTATATATTTTGTTCGTAATCCTCATTCGAGCAAAGTTCCTTTGCATAATGGGCTTATCCTTACTAATCACAAGCACTTTTTTAATCTTGTATTCAATATCTTGTATAAAAACTATAAAACTCCCCAACTTGATCTCATTTTTGGATTTTCTTCAACTAAAAAATAAATATATCAACTTTTATTATTTGCATTATTTAAAGACAGAAAACTTGTTACAATTGTTTATATAATTTAAAGGAATATTTTTAATAATTTGAAATAATTTAACAAAGATACTTCCTTACTTTTATATAGCATCTTAGCTTTTGTTATGACAGAGCTGCCTGAATGTCTAACGTTTCTACGTGATCTATTTCTTAAAATATTCGAAATACTTGATCGCCATTTTTCAATTGGATTCGTTTGAGATGCACTAGCTGTTTTTATTCTTCTTAGCAAATCTTTCCCATTTTCTGAAAAATTGTTTATTTTAATATATTTTTAGACAACAATGATACATGTGTCTATGTCTATACATGTGTTTTATACCTATAAAATTAATCTTATTTCACTAAATATTTATTATAACATACTTTAATAAAAGTATATCATACCAGAATTTTCTAAACATGCTCCAGAAGGCATGTTCCTTTTATCATTTTCATTTATTCTAATAAGAATTGCATAATGCCAATATTTCCATTCTTCTTCGCTTGCCCCACCAAGAAACTCACGTGGGATCGGCTCATTCATGTCTTGACAAATGATGCTTAAGTGACAATGCTTGCGAAGCTCAATAACGTATTGGCCGTCCATATGCCCAATCCCGTTTGAACGAATATCTTTACAGGATTTTGGAAGACCTTAAATACATAAAACAAAATATTAGGAAATCAATAATCCATGTAGAGGTTTATAAAACTTATAAATTGATGTAAATTGATGTTAGAAAAAATACCTTCAGGGAGATCTATTAAATCTTCTTCAGATGTTACGCCAAATTGTGTCGAGTTTGATGCTATATGAAATTAAAGAAATATTTCAAAGTTGAAAATATTAATGAAATGTAATAAAACTAAAAATTTGTTTTTAGATTTTTATTGCTCTAAAACTTGGCCACAAGATTTGCAGGCTCTTCTCAAAAGCTTGCTGACGGGCTCCAGTATTCCAAAGGTAATCTTAAAAAAATATCTGTATAGTTCTCATGCCTGTTATTTAATATTAACTGTTACCCCTGAAATTCGAACAGAAAACTCAAATGTTGTTGTAAAAATACTTTTTCCTGTTTTCAAAATAAAAATTCATCACTTGCATTGAATACGATATTATTAAACTTATAAAATGTAAAATCATCTCCTTATATAAAACTTTTTTTTCAACTTCTGCATTTTCTTTAAGGGCTAGAGTAATTTTCAATTATATTAGCAGTAACATAATCAGGTGCTTTAAATACTGATGCTAAAAAAATTAAAACGCAATTATATACAATACCTGGAGAAGCAGGCTGTGTAATAGGAATTTCAGTTATCATTTGATTAGGAGCTTCATTGAGTTCATCAATGCTACTTACAGCATCATCAGCTACTGTTGTATCATTAAGAACAAAAGGGGTGCTCACTTTAGAACCATAAACCCCAGATGTGACATAATAAGTAGGTTGATTAGTATTTGGAGGGGGACCTTTAAGGAAAAAAATTAACAGAAATAAAAAAACTTTATTTTGATTGGAACTACATTAAAAGTTATAAAATTCATTACCAGTCATTGTTTCTGAATATTGATAAACTTCAATATCTTTATGAATTTCAGTTTGGTTTTCTTGTAAAATAAAGTCTTGTAGGTCTTCACTATGATAATCACCACTTCGAATCCATTCTTTCTGAGTTACAGTATCATCCCTACACCAGCCATTATGTAAAACAGCACTGATTATCACATTTCCTGACATATTTTGTTGGAGTGCTAGTGAGTATGAAATTCGATTGGATGACGCTTTTACATTATAGAATGTTTCTTTTGCTGTGATAGGTTGTACACAATCGATGACCCCAGAACACAATTTCATTTCTTGAGCTTTGACTGTCAAGCATGACTGGCTTTTTATTTGAACGTTTTGTGGCAATATTATATCTCCATGAAGAATAGGTCCTTAAAATAAAATAGTCTAAAACTAAGCTTTAAAACTATTTAAAAGTCCTAATTATAAATATAAATATTTTATCTAAATACTTCAATTAAACAATTCCAATAGCGATTGTTATAATTTCAATTGCGATCTGTCTCCAATTATGAAACAGCCCCCGATTATAATACATGTTTATGTTTATCAAATGATAATCATAATTTATGATTATCATTTATGTTATTCTGATTACCAGATATTTTTTTGATTATATGACAATCTCTAATACAATTATATTAGTCCTTTCTGAAATTATCTAATTACCCTATTAAAAACCCTAGCATAATTATCTAACAGCCCCTATTATTATTATCTGTCAGCTCTTGTAATTATCTGTTATTTCCTATTGTGATTATAATGTTTCCTACTGTAATTATTTGACATTTCCTGATGTGTATTAATGCTTTCCAATCTTAATAATATGCTTTTTACAAAACAAATCTTTTGAGAATATTTTTGGCTATGACAAAAATATTTAGTCGTATCTTTTGTTTGCATAAACTTTCTTTCAACAAGAAAAAAATAAATTTTTATCTATTTAAAGATAAACTTTTTATTTTGTCTTTTTTTAAAACTTTGATTAGTTGTTTAATAAATTAATTTTTAATTCATTTATATACTTATCTATATAAAGATTGTAAAATTGTGAATATTTACATATTCTTTTAACAATCAAATAAAAGAGAAGAATATTAATATAATGCTTAACTTAATACAATAGATTATAAAAATAATAATATATAAAAAATTAGCAAAATACCTGATGGATTAAGTTCAGATGCTAAAGGCACAACATAAATATTCTTGCCAACAACAGTAGTTTTATTGTCTATTTCATAATCATGAATTTTGTCATTATAAAGATCTCCTTCTTTAATCCAATCTGTTCCATTTTCAATTCGACACCACCCTAAATTGACCACAGCACTAATAATATATTTTCCTGGAGTATGAGACATAAGCTGTAATGAGTAAGGTATGCCATTATTATTAATAACATTTACAAATGTTTTGGTTGCAACAGGGGAAACTTGGCAAGCAGCATTTTTACACTGAATAAGTTTTCTAGAAGAAACAGTCAAGCAAGTCTCAGGAGGAAGAACTTGATTTTCATTTGATAATATTACTCTGCCGGTTACAAACACACCTAAACAAAAGTTCTAAAAATGCACAAAATTATCATGATAAAAAAAAAAAAAGTTAACAATATTCATCAAACAATTAAAAGTAATTAAAAAAAAATAATACCTTTAACGTCATTAAGTTTGATTACTTTAAAATCTTTAACAATTTCTGATGTGGTTGAAGTGACTTCATAATCCTCTATGACATCGTTATAGTAATCTCCAGAAACCATAATTTGAGAACTCTCTGGACACTTACTAACATGCAGGACTGCACTAATAATATAAGTTCCTGGATCCAAATTGGGTAAATCCATGCTGTATGGAATTGTATTATTTATAACTGTAAGATTTCTAATAGTCGTGTTTATTGAATGTAGTGTTTCAAGACAATTACTACTTTTGCATAAATGAAGTTGCTTGGTGCCTAATGAAAGGCAAGATTCAGCAGTAATTTCTTTTGTATCTGAATCTTCTGGTAGAATAATACTTCCTTCAAGTTTTATACCTATTTAAAAAAATTGAAATTTTTTTCATATACCTTAGCAAGTTAGACCCCATGATACCCATTGGTGTTTGACATGAAGAAATAATTGTTACATGTAAGACTAAAAATTAAAACCGTATAGATTGTACCTGTTTCTTCTGGCAATAACTTTTCCAGATTAATATCCAGTAAAACTTTTGTTGTTGATTGATCAATCTCAAAATCATGAATTGTGGTGCTATGATAGTCACCCCTATGTATTAAATCTTGTGCATTTGAGCGACACCAACCAACATTTATAACAGCATTGGCACTATATTTCCCATATTTCAACTTGGCTAAATCTAATTGATAACTGACTGTTTGATTTCTTACTACAAAATTATATATTGTTTGGTTAGCAGCAACAGGAATATTACAGGTTATGTCTTTACCACAAAAAACCAATTCTTGGATAAAAAGAGTAATACATGATCCAGACGGAAGAGTGGTTGGAGCATCCTCAGGAAGGATAAGGTTTCCAGATATTCTAAGACCTAAAGAAAAATTTATGAAAAACTTTATAGTATAAAACACCTTTTTAAGTAATTTAACTGAACATGGAAAAGAACTAGAAAGCTACCTGAACAATTAGGTTCTTTATATCTTTCCTCTGTTCCTTGAATGCGGACCCCATCATTATTAACACACCAACAAAACCCTGTAAGAGCATGACACTGAACAGTTTTATAATTTCCATCTGACAAGCATTGAGGAATAAATCCTCCAACCGTAACTCCAGATGATGATTCTGCAATTAGTTGCTGTTGCTGACAAATTGTTAAATGGGTTCCACCACTCAAAGTTCCATTAATGTTTTGAGTTGATGAGGATGATGCTAAAGTATTTTTATATATTTTATAACACATAAATAAAATTGATATTAAACATGTAAATATTTTGACTTTTTTTAAAAATTGTGAAACTATTATCTCATACAAACTTACCAACAAGTACAAGAGAGTTTTCTTGTACTAGAATTCCAGTTAAGTTATTTGCTAAAACAGCATGCTCTAATGGCTCAGAAAGTGCTTTATGACCAGCCATAAACTTTATCTTGAACCTAACTCCAACTTTTTTTTCTGTTAAAGCTAAATCATATGAAGATGGAATATCTGCTTCACTGAAACCAATGACATTTGGACTAACAAATTCACTAGATTTAGAGTAAATTTCTTTGACCTAAATTGAAATATAAATATAAAAAATAAACTAAAAAAATTGCAAAAAAAAGATCTAGAGCAAGAGCTAATGTTAAATAAATTACCGAAGAAACAATAGAACTTTCAAGATATCTGTACAATTGACTATTTTTATCACCCAAGCTCGGCTGCCAACTCTGTTGCAATGTCATAAAACCTTCAATTTCATTTGCCTCTGAAATAAGAACTTCAATTTAACAAAGTATATAAAAAATAAAAATTAAAATTAAAAAAATTAAATATAAAATAAAAAGTAAAGATATCTAGTGAATTATTTATCAAATTAACCTTGTGGTACTTCAGTGGGTAACAAATAACTATTTGATTCAGTTGATAAATATTTATATAAAACACTCTGAGAACCATTACTTAAATAAACTGATGGCTGAGTAGGGTTTCCATTCAATTTATACAGTTCGGTTTCAGATGGGGATGTATTTGTCTGTTGACCTGGTTGCAATGAGGATGCATTTGTCTGAAGAGGCAAAAATGGATTGTAAGTAACTTTATTTTCATTTGTTTTTGGTAAATAAGGATTAAATGTTGATGCTTCTGTAAAGTAATGTTTACTAGTAACAACAAAATTGCTTGGAGGAGATGAAGTAGTTGATAAAAACAAAGGCTTTACATCCTGTAAATAAATGTCTTGAGAATGTGCTTGTTGCTTTTGTCCATATTGTTCATTACTGACACCAGAAACACCTGAGGGCTTGGGTCCTGGGGGTGGTTGTACTGTTTCGCTCAAAGCTAAATGAAATTACAAACTGAAATTACAAATCTGATATTTTTAATATTTATTATTCAATGGTATATTTTATTCAATGGTTTAATCATTGTATTAAAATTTTTATTTGAAAAAAGTAACTTTGTAATGAATTCTTACAAAACACATAGAAAAAGTTTTTATCTACTGGAAATCCACTCAGCGTTCCTTGCCCTATGATATTTTTAAGTTTCTGTTGAGGATAAGGTTCTTGAAGATGGAATCGCACAGCTAGATTGACGATGGTTTTATCGTCATCACCTTTCCTGAAATAAAAAGTATATCATTATAATAACTTAATGAAACTTTAACTTCTATTTAAAAATATAATAAGATAATAATATGTGATAATATAATAAGACTCACAAAAAATCTAGCACAGTTGCATCAATATAAGTGTCATCTTCCATCAGTGCCCTGTCAACCTAGACATAAAATAGTTTAAGTTAAAATAACAAAAAATAAAAAATTTATTTGTCTAAAAGAAATGCCAAACTGTTAATTCCAAAACTAAAATAAAATATTATTGTTGTTGCTTCATTATTATTTATCATTATTATGCCATACAGCAAATATATATATTCAAATATATCAGCAAATTTACATATTTGCCATACAGTAAATTTACATTATGCCATACAGCAAATTTACATATTCGCCATACAGCAAATTTACATAAAATAAACTTGGTTTATAAAAAAATCAATTACAATTGATTTTTAGAAAAAATTATGTTTATGTTATGAATATTACCATTATACTATTACTATATCATATTTTATTTTAATAGTTCATAAATATATATATATATATATATACACATAATTATATATATACACATAAATATATATATATATATATATATATATATATATATATATATATATATATATATATATATATATATATATATATATATATATTTATATATATATATATACACATAAATATATATATATATATATATACACATAAATATATATATATATATATATATATATATATATATATATATATATATATATATATATATATATATATATATATATATATATATATATATATATATATATTCGCATAAATATATACATATATATCTTTTGCACCATAGATAATTTAAAAGTACTTTGATTAAAATACTTTGATAAGAATAATAAAAATGGTTGAGTGATAAAAAATGGACCATCAATGACTGTAAATGTGGTTCGTGGTGTCAAAGTTTTATATCTTAGGTTCCAAGATAAGATTGCTTGTTTAGAAAAAAAAATGTGTTGAATGTTGGATAAAATAGTATGTATTATTGACTTTAAAACATGATGGATATAGTGGTTATGGCAGTTATTGTTACTAAGGATTATTAAAAGGCAAGTAAACTATAAACTAATCTAATGGGATTTTATATTAATTTCTTTCTAAACCTAATAAATAGAAAGATAACATATAATTCAGGTAGACTTTGTTTTCAATTCCTCTCCAAATAGTAAGTAAAACTATGATATCTTATATCAAAAAGTATGACCATTCAAATAATTATGGACAGTATTGTATATAGAGAGAGACAGAGAATTGTCATAATGAATGGCATCAATGGAATTGATGATATGAATAGGAGCAGAATTGTCTAGATAGTAGACTACTATTACAGCAAAAAAAATTAAAAAAATTGACTCTTTTTTTTTGATAGAAATTAGAAGGCACCAGCATTATTCATTTATATATTATACTATTTATACTTATATGTTTTACTATAAACTGATATTTACTGTATATTCAACAATTAAAAGTAATTTATTACGAAAAAATTAAAAAAAAGTTAAAAAGTTGTTTTTATTTTTTAAATTTTATAATCATAATGATTAAAAAATTCGAAAAGTTTAAAATTAAACTTTTCAAATTAGAAGTAAACCTTTTAAGTTGATTTTAAAATTAAATCAGGTTTTAAAACTAAATGAAGTTAAACTTACAGCTTCTTCAATTGTTGCGCTATAAACAATATACTCCTTTGTATTGTTAAAGCTAAATGACTTGTTCCAAGGCTGCTCCATTTTAATAGATAATCGGACTTCTTTATCTAAAAAAAACTGTTTTCCTTGATATCATATACTATACAATTCACACACAAACTAAATAAAATAAATAAAATTTCTAACTCACATCGAAGTGGTTTTAACTTCTTTGAATGTTTTAATGATAACAAATTATTTGACGTTGAAAAAGGAATATCTGTGTAATTAGTATAGGAAGGCATTGATGTTGAATTAATAGAGGATTGTGATAAAGGCAATATTGCATTAGGCTGATTTACAGATTTTGATGCAGTTAATGGTGGCGATGCTATCTTTTGAGAAAATAAAAGAGGGGGTTTGCTGGACTCTTTTAATGAAATTGATGGAGGAGTTACAACTTGAATAGATGGACTTGAAACATTATCATTAGATGAACCAATACTTGAAAGAATAGATGCTTCAAAATCTTTATAAAGATTTACTAAAGGCAATAGTAATGTATTATTTTGAACATTTTTTGGAGACTTTGTTGGTGATGATTGCATAATATCAAATGTATGATTTGCTTTTATTTTAATTCCTTTTTCTGATATACCTAAAAAAAACATTGTAAAAAGTCAAATAAATAATTAAAAAACCATTTATTTTAAATTTTAGATAACAAAATCCTAACCTATTATCTTAAAATATCTGTTATCAACAGGCATTCCATCCAAATCACCACCTGCAATCATGGCCTCGCATTTTTCAATTGCATGTCTTTCTTCAAGTTTAAACTGAATTATACATTCAACAATTACCAGTCCTTCCTCACTTTCTCTAGAAAAAAAATTACCATAAAAACAAAATGCTTGCATTTTACAAAGACTAATGAAAAGAAGAAATAAAAAACTTAAATAACAAAATAAGAGAAAAGAAAAATCAAAAAATTATTTTTTCTTTCCATTAATATATTTTACCTAAACTCAATAACATGAGCATCAATGTAAAAGGAATCGTATGTAAAGATTTTTGATATCTACAAATAAAATAAAAAAACTGAAAGAAATTAATTTTATAAACATTTCTCTTCACTTAACCACAAAGTGATACAAGACTTTTATTGGTTACACTTTTTGTAGAATCCAAATGAAAAACATCTAAGAGCATGTAATGCACGTGAACAAAGTAAATTCATTTTTATTAAGAAAAAATTAAAAATTAAAACTAAGCTTTTAAATTTAAAAAAAGTTATATATACGAAAAACAGGTAAAAAAAAAAAAAACTTACTGCATATTCTATGTTTCCGCTAAGTTCAACAAACTCTGGTGAATTATTTTGCTCCAAAAACATAACAAAATGTTGCTTGAGTTTGATTGAAATGTGAACTTCTATATCTATAATATATACATATATATATATATATATATATATATATATATACACACACACACACACACACACACACACACACACACACACACACACACACACACACACACACACACACACACACACACACACACACACACACACACACACACACACACACACACACATATTATATGTAAGTTGAGCATTTTCTATAAATAGAGTGCTTAATGTTCCTAATGAACAGAGCAATAATAAATTAGTAAAAACACAAATCTAATATTCTTCTTCAGAAGAAGAAATTATGTAAGTGTTTTTACTAGTTTAATTATATATAAATATACACACACACACACACACATATACAAATTATTAGAAAATTGCTTATCAAACTTTTGTTATTTTACAGTGTTTTATAAATACTCATCAAAAAATATAGGAATCATCAGTTTTTTGATGGGCTGGCTGTAAGATAATTGATGTATGTACTGAAGCCCCTGGCAGATGGCTATTTTAGTGTGACATCAGAGATGTTATCTCTAATGTCACACTATATTCTATATATATATAATCTATTCTAACTATACAAATACCTTCCAGATGTTATACCCTACACCCACTGTCATCTAATTCAGGCATACTACTGAATATCTTAAGAAGTGTGAAAACTTTGAGATAGTAATTGCTTAATTCATCCACATAGACTACCATCTGAATATTAATGTGTCTTAATGACGGCAAAAGAGCTCCATCTTACAACTCTTTTAAGCCACTGATTTACATAGCTGAAAACTTTAAAAGATGTGATGTGAAACCATTATGCAAGAAATACCACTTATAACAAATAAACCATAAACCAACTCATGTAATGGCATCTAAATTGTCTTGCCCTGACATTATTCTAACAAATGCCCTGAAGTGTTATATTTTTGAAACTCTAAAATCACTAGGTCCATCCTTATCTCAAATTGAAAATCTTAATGCTAATGACATTATATTACAGATAAACACTAGAAATGCCAATGTAACATCTTGGCTAATTTTATCACAAAATCTGTCATAAAAATAAAAAACAAAATTCTTGTTGCAAGCTTGTACCAATACCTCAGCATTAACCTAAACCCAAGTCTAAAACTTGAAAACAATGGTCAAGGCTATATAATAAAATTGTCCCTTGCAAACGTTTTATTAAGCAACTCAGAATATTTGGAGGATGGCCTAAATCTACGCTTATTGTACACCCGGTAATACCCCCTTTTAAAATATCGTACTATTGTCGACTTTAATATGTTAACTTTAAATCTGGAAACTTTTTTCCAGATCTAAAGTTGACATTTTAAAATTAACCCTAATCTGTGAAATAAAAAAAAGTGTATATACTTACTATAGTTAAATTTTTAAATTTTTAAATAAAATAAATACTGATTTGAGTTTACAAAAAGTAATAGTACGATATTTTAAGAACATTTTAAGACAAGAGAGAAAAAGGCAAAAATTAGCAACAAAACAAAACATTTCTTTCATGTAACAAAAGAAATGTATTACTCTTAAAAACTACATACAAATTTGTAAATGTAAAAAACTTACATGATGTAACATTAATCTTCTTTGGAAATCTCTGATGAACCACTGACTTATTTTCAGGAATAATTAGCGCAGGTAGCAACCGAAGTTTAAGTGCAGTTGAAGTGTGAGGAGTCTTGTTTGCATTATTTCCATTAATCCATTCTATTAAAAAAAAAGTTGAAAACAAAAACTTTACAATATCATCATCATCATTATGATCATAATCATCAACATCACAATCATCATCATCATTATCATCATCATCATCATCATCATCATCATCATCATCATCATCATCATCATCATCATCATCATCACAATCATTACTATCATCAAATATATAATTTAGTAAATATATTTAAGGTTACTTAGGAATAGTTAAAGAACTGAAAATGTTACCTAAAACTTTGAAATACTTAGGATCAACTTGCTGATTTGAAATCCATCCCCTACTAATAATTCCATGAAGATGAAATATTGGGTCAATTTCAGTTTTAAAAAACCGTATAGCTATTACAGCTAAAATTTCATTAGAAACAGCAGTTGGCCTAAAATATACATATAAAAATAAGGAATATATCTATTAATATATTACCTATATTTGTAAATAAATAAAAATATTTATGAAATATATTATTTTAAGTTATATAAAGATTCACTAAAATTTCAAAATATTCTTGGATTTGCCATAAAATAAAAAAAGCTTTGTATAGACATTTTCACAAAATAAACTAAACATAGGTTACAGAAAAATAGCAGCTAGACAGAATTTTGTAAAAGGTTTTGTTGTTTTGCTTGCTATGTTATGCTTTATTTTTGTTTGCATTTATAAACAATCGAATGGTTTTTGATTGTTTATAAACTATTCATGCATTTTGCCAAATTAAACTGATAATTTAGTTTGCTAGTTTGTCATACTTTCTAGCTTATCTATAACTATTATAAATGTCAATAAATATGCCAAAAATTAATTAAAAAACAAAACTATTGGTTTGACTATATATGAAATAAAGACAACAAAAAACAAACATATAACTGAATAAAATTCACTAGAGAGTAAAGAATCATCGAAGAGTAAAGAAATAAATTAAATCAGTGCTGTTTAACGTTGAAAAAAAATTATCTTAACTATTCAAATCATTTTCTTAAAGTATCCACTTCATTTATCCAAAACTAAATTATATCTTTTAAATGATTTGTCGCTCTCCCACTTGTTATTATAGTACGGTCGTCAAAATTTATACTATAACTATATGATATTTTTATTTAGAAAGAAGAAGAGAAAAGAATAAACATTTATAATAATATATATTACAACTATCAATCGTTTTTATGAGACAAAGATATATTGTGTAACAGCTTCTTTATGTTGTTTTATTAAATTGATTGATTATATTGATTGAATTAATAATTAAAATATCATTTAAAGATAAAAAAATTATCTAAAAACTAGTTTAAATTTTTTTTTGGATGAATTTAATATATTTTTTTGAAATGCAGACCTTTTTTTTTTGGTCTTTTTACCATTTAAAAAAAATTTTTTACAATCTGAGGAATAAGGAAGCAACAAAATAAAAACTCAGTAGAAATAACAAAAAATATTATCAAAATATTTCTTAAAAAAGCTTGCAAATGTAGCAGCAATGTAGCAGAAATGTTAGATTCAAGAGTAAGATGCTTAGGTGAAAAACTTTAAGTTTTTTGAAAAAAGTTTAACTTGAATTTAAATGATCAAAATAACTGTTGAAAAATTAAAAAACAATTGAATTGAACTGATTGAACAAAAAAATGACTTTGATGAATTAAAAATGAAACTTTACCTAAGATTACTAACAGCACTTGAAAGAAAATGATAGTTTGCAACAAACTCATTATTGATTGCATCAATAAGATTTCCCACAATCAGCATGTATTCTGGACTTGTTTTGTTTGATAATTCAACTCGCCAAGGGTGAATAAGTTTAATTTCAGCTCGAACTTCCTGAACTAAAATATGTATTTGCCAATATACAACATATTTTCAATAATTTTTTAATGAAAAGTATTGTAACATACTTTTGCTGTTATATTACTATTATTACTTATATTAATGTTATTTAATAATGGAACACAATATAATATAGTAAGCTTAACTTGTAAAACACGAACAAATAACAATAAAAATAATAATGTATTTTTAATTATTGTTACAATTATTATTACTAACCAACATAAACAAGATTACCTTGTTTTTTAACATATGGTCGGTTTCCATTTGGACTTGTACTCACAGTTGTTCTTTCATCAATGTCTATACCAACTTCCCTTTTTGATTTAATATTCAGTAAACTTTGATATAGAAGACGTTTTGTACGGCGTAATTCAGGTTCATTTAAAGATTGAGCAACTCTCTTCTTGTGTAGTTTAGTGTTTTGTTTATGGCCATGGTCTTTACTGCAAACTAATAAATTTGTAAAAGTAAAGTAGTTAATATAAATAATATAAATAAATATATAATAGAGGTATTATATATTTTTAGAGGTGCCCTTGAACATTTAAAGGGTTCCCTAATAATATGGAAAAAAGTAGGTCAACCTGGTACTTGAAAAGAAGCATAATTATATAAAAATTTCAAAAACAATAACTGTTTTGTATAAAAACTATTGTTTTTAAATTTTATTTCATAAAAACTATTGATTTTTAATTAAAAAGCGCTATACCTAATATAAACAAATTTACTTTTATGATTATTAATTAACTTATCATTTTAAAGTAAATGCTTTTTTTGGTTAGATCAAGTTGTTTCAAAAAAAGTCAAATAAACAGGATTTATGTTTTTATCAGGATTTAATAGTATAATAACTATGTAACCTCTTGTTCTCATAATTATTTTAATAATGAAAATAATAGTATTACTATTATTAGTAATTATCTGGTTAGTTATATAACTTAATATAAGAATTAAATAACTTAATATAAGAATTAATAATGAATATAAAATTTACATAAAATCACTTAATTATTTTCATATAATTTATATGTAAATTTTACAAAATAAATGAATTTTTATCTTGTTTTTTGACGATAATTCATATCCAATCCGTTAGGCTCAAGGCCGGCGCGATAGGGGTGTGTGGGGGGTGTGACCCTTTTTGACTAGTTAGTCGGCAAATGTAGACCCTGTCGGTAGGTTAGTCGGTAAAGTCAGTCGGCAAATGTCGCTATGGCAGTCAGTAAATTTAAAAAATTTCTTTTTTTAAAGGCGGCATAAGTTGTAATGGCACACACACACACACACACCCCACGTGACCCCTACTCGCGCCGGCCCTTATTAGGCTGATAACTTATTCAAACTTTTAAATGAGCATTAAGAGATGTAACTTTTTTAGGGACAGTGAAAGTATATATAACTTGATGATTTGTTTTTAAAATGTTCCTCATAGACCACTTTTTTAAAACTACTTAATTTTATTTAGAGTCTGACAATGATTTTGACCCATCTGCTAGCACTATCAGTACACCTAAAAGAAAAAGAAAAGCTTCAACTGTTTCAGCTGTTTCTTTAGTAAAGTATGTAAAGCTAAGTACACACCAGAGCAAGTATGTCATCAATTGTCAGAAAAAGTTATTAATACGAAAGCTGATAGAATCAAAGAGTTAAAGAAATTTACAAAGAAATCTTTATAGGCACTATATTTTGATGGCAAGAAGATTCAACAGAAAGAAATGCAAGTTGTAATTTAAAAAACAATTATCAGGAAATTACGTTGACAGCTTTGCTTTTAGAGAATGGCAAAGCCGAAACAATCGTTTCAGCATTGATTAATTTGTTAAATGAATTTGATATATAGGAAGTTAGAAAAATGATTATTTGCGACACAATAAACTCAAATACTGGGGGAAAAGGTGGTGTTGTAGCATATTTAAAAAAATAGTTTATAGCCAGGAATTTGGAAAATCCACAATATATTGGTTGCCAGCATCATCGTTAGATTTGTTATTAAAGCATGTCATGGATAAAATTTTTGGAGGCAAAACATTGTTAATATAGATTTTTTTTTTTGATGAACTAATGCAAAATTATGATATCTTGGTTCAAAATTTCAAACAATCAACATCAATCATCAGCATACCAGCAGTGGTATAGCAAGATGACATGAAGTTTTTGTATGAGCTAGGGCATCATTACAGATATTATATGGAAAGATTTGCCTAAATTCATTTTAAGGCTCTTCCAAATATTAGTAATGCTAGATGGAATTCAAGAGAAATTATAGCATTACTGGCATTTATTTTATTGCCAGAACATCGGCAGCAACTGCAACCAGATGCAACTTTATTACTGGTGAAAGGATGAATATCTGGTTTTCTAATCACTATTATAATAGAATAAACTATAAATTTTTATTAGTTGCAGTTAGCCAGTATGCAAAAACAAAAAAACCTTATTTAAGACAATATTGTAATCAAGAAACTGTTATAAACGCTGCATGATCCAATATTTGTGCAGAACGTGCAGTAAAAACAGCGCAAGAAAATATGGCTTATGCAATAACTGAAAAAACAACCAATAAAAAACTAATTTTTTGTAAATGTTATACTGGTACTAATTTTTTAAGCATCTAGAATTTATTAGAAATACATGACTTTATATTGAAAAGACTTAAAATCAATAAAAACTTTTTTTTTGCTTTATGGGGGAAGTTTTTTAATTTTTCAACAAGGTTTAAAAAATTTATCACCCTACTATCAAATTCACGATTAAAAAAAGGATATTGATAGCTTTTCAAAAATTTATTTTGAAGTGTAAATAAGTTTTTATACGAAAACTGATTTTTTTAAAACAAGATTTTATTAAAGTATTATTATTTTTTAAATAATTTTTATTAAACTTTTTTATCGAATTTACATAAACTTCTTATGTTATATACCAGAATAATAGTTAACCGGAATAATAGTTCTTCAAATTAACGATAAAATCTAGATGACCTTATATTAATGATATTTTCATTTTATTTCATTAATAATTATAATTTGTTAACTGGCGTGTTTTATAACAGTTTGCTGGATACAGCTCACAGGCAACTATCACAATCTATTGTTATCGATTGAGCCGAGATGACTCTGATGGTTTAGTTCTAATGTTATTTATATCTGTAGCTGTTGCATAAAACTTTTGCGATTAGTGGAATTTCAGTGGATCTATATAATCATTTTGAGCGCTCCACTGTAGTTTTGCTCATTGGTTACTCAGTGGACTTTTAGTACAACCGCCAAAAGTGGCAAGTCGATGGCTACCCACTATACTACATGTTGGAAAGTTATAGCGGATGCCATTAATGATCCACTAAATAACCGATAGCAAAACTTTAATGAACCACTCAAAATGTCTTTGTAGTTTATTGCAAATCCACTGCAAAAATATTTCCCTGGGGAACTACTGATCCAGGGATGGTCTTTGCAAAATATTTTTAATTCACTATTAAGTTTTTTATCCAAGTTCTCAGCTTTTTCTTCACATAAAAGATCTAATAAAATACTTTCAATAAAACAGTTAAAAACACAGACAAAACAAAAACACAAACAAAATAAACAGGCAAATCGATAGTCAATCTTGGATAGCAGATTTAATCTGATAATATCTAGTCATAATGGCGTAGAAATATCATAAAGATCCATCAAAGCCGTAACTTTATAACTTTTTAAATTTCAACAACTTTTTTGTGCAAGTTCTAATGTGGTGTTTTTTTGAGAAAGAAAAAAAAATTACATTTCTCAATATATTTGTTTACAATTTGCTTTAGTTCCACATTGAAGCAATTGTTTTGCAACTTAAAAATAATTGTCATAGTAACAATAAAAAATATAATTAAAATATTTTTTTAAGCATATTCAAAAAGTTATGTAATTTTTTAGTAATATTGCGGTACCATTATTACAATTATGCTATATGATATTAAGTTAGAAACTTAGAAAAGGTTAACAATAATGTTTTTTTTTTTTGTTTTTTTGCTTTGTTCAAATTTTCAAAACATGATTTTAAAAATAAAAAACATAATTTTTTAAAATAACTTGAAGATCACACTCGCATTATACCCTTTCTATTTTTCATAAAAGAGGGTAAACAAGATAAAATATAATATATTCATAGCACTAATGTGTGATGTATTTTATCATGTAATTACGGTTTTCTCCATTTTTATTTTAAAAGTATGGAATTAATGGAGATCTACTTACCTAAGCTGGTTATCAGAAACAACAAAGTCAGTTCGATCAGATTCATGGATACTAAATAAAAACAGCAAGAAATGTTTATTAAATTAAATAAACTTTTTTCCCCAGTAATTACCTAACTGAAATAATAACAATTTTTTTTATAATCTTATAAAGATATATTGTGTATTAACTTTGGCTTCAAGTAATAAAAAAAGTAGCATTTAACATAAGCAAAGTAAAATAATGGAATGTGTTATTGTACCGAGGTATTATTTAAATAAGTATTTTTTAGTTAAGTTCATTTGTTAATACTTACTAGTGATTTATGTTATATCAACATACAACATAACTGTCAAAATCTTTCGAAAAAGAGAAAAAAAAATTATCCACGTCGAATTTCAATTTTTCGTTTGTAAATATTTTCAATTTTCTATACGACAAAGAAAATTAATTCATAAAATTAAAGTTATTGAATTAATTTTTACTTAAATATGAGTTTTCTAAAAATATTATTACAAAAATCTTTATTATTATTTTTTTTTAATTTTTTTTTTTTTTTTGTGTAAAATAAATTTAGTTTGATCTCCTGCTCTTTGGCAGGTGAATTTTTGGATGTTTTTACGGTTGCTTTGGCTAGAATATTTCCAACTTTCGTGTCTCCCCGGTTGATCGGAAACTACGGTTAATTTAATTAAATAAAATTATTACCTCTACAAGTTCTTTAGCAGAATAATAAAATAATTTCCTTTTTAATTATTCTATATAGTTGTTTTCAAATTTTTCATGTTTTCTGTAACTTTTCTGAGGCTCCCCAGATCTTTTCTGAAAAATCATTGAAGCGCGTAGTTAACTCTTCACTTGTTCACGTTTGTAGGAGGCAAATGGATTTATAAATGAACCCAAAATTTATAAAACAACCAATGTTCAATAATTAAATTGAAATGACTATCCTTTTTTTTTAGAATACAAAATTCGATGAAATAACTTGGTTTACTTGTTTAATTTGGCTTTTGTGGTCTGATTTTTTTTTTTTTTTTTTTGACTGCCGAAGAAGTAGAAATTCATTCGGGACAAAACAAATATTTAAAAATGCAGAAAACATCAAAATGTATTAAAATATTTATTACGCCTTTGATTTTCTCCATTGCTCGTAAACATTTCTTTTTGTGCTTTCGAATAGTTTGTCTATATTCCTCCATACACAAGGGAAGAATGGAATATGGAAGAATATAGAAAAGTATATTCCTCCATACATAATTATATATATATATATATATATATATATATATATATATATATATATATATATATATATATATATATATATATATATATATATATATATATATATATATATATATAGTGTCTTGTACCTGCCAACATTTTATTTTATTGTAGCATATTTTTACTTATTTTATAACACAAAAACTGTAAAAATAAATTATACACATTATAATTATCTTTCTAAATTGGGTACGTTGAGTTTTTAAATTAAATTAAATAAAAGTTAAATTGAAATGAGCTTGAGGTCAAAATTGCATTAAAATATAATAATAATATAAATGCTCATTTATTATATATATATATATATATATATATATATATATATATATATATATATATATATATATATATATATATATATATATATATATATATATATATATATATATATATATTTCTGTAAGACCACCTAAATAATGCTCTTTTGTAAAGAGTTTTGATGTTTGTAATTAGACGGGACTATTTTTCTGTAAGGGAATGGTCATTCATACTTTTATGAACCACATCTGGATTATTTTTATTAGAATTAGTTTAGATCCATATCTTTATGAACCGCATCTGCATTAAATGACATTTGCGCAACACATGCGCAAATCTTATTTAATGCACTGCATAAAACTTTTAGATTCTTTGAAACTAATAAATATAGGGCTTTCTTTTTGCTTTTTTTCATGCAAAATTTATTATGTCTTTCTATGTCAGAGCATTAGCCTATTCATTTTTAACTTAAAAGTTTAATAGGCAGTTTTGTTCCATATTGATCAAAAAAACAATTAATTTTTATCATTTTTATCAATCAACTTTCACCCTCTGCAACAGATATTAGCATTGTTTAAAAAAACGAGTATGCATTTAGATGAGCAAGTAAGCTATATATAGCTTACTTGCTCATCTAAATGCATACTCGATTTAAAAAAAAAAAAAAGCAAAATGAAATAAATGAAAAAATAAAAAAAAAAAAAAAAAAAAAAAAAATAATAATAAAAAATAAATAAATGGAAACTCCTGGAGATTTAATGGAAACTCCTGAAAACTCTTTAAGTCTTCTCAACAAAATTCAAGGGTTTCTATATAAACACTTGAATTTGGTTGTCTTTAAATTATCTTATTAACTTATCTTTAGTTTATCAGGTATCTTGATAATATCTTAGTTTTTAGAATAGTTTGCAAGGCCGACGACACGGATTTCGAAGTGGAGGGGTACAATCGTTAATTTTTTAAAAAAAGTCCTCTATATCTAGAATTTTCTTAATAAAAAAAAAAAGGTCCTTTAGAAAAAATGTGAGTGGAGGGGGCACGTGCTCCCGGACCCCCGGTGTTGTTGACCCTGGCTTGAGTAGGCTTTTATACTGGGGTTCTGTTTATTTTCAAAGTAAAAAATATTTTATTCAACACTCATTCTTTTGAAAATGTGTATAATATGTATGAAAGAAAAATTAATTGGTTTACTTATTGATGATAACTTCAATTATAACTTGATGTCATGGTATAAAAGCTACATTTTGGTAAATTCCGTCGTGGGTGCACAAGCTAAAAAATATACTGAATGTTTAAATGAATGTTTTCTTTGTCAAAACATCTCTAAACCAGCTTTTCAAATTAAACCTAATTAAGATAGCAATATATTTGCTTTAACTTTTTCAAAAAATAATAACAGGGAAATGATAGTAAACCACTTACCTCAACTTGGCAGCATTAACCATGATCACCAAATAGTTATTTTTAATCAAGTAATCAATTTTAAGTACTGACTTGAAGGCAGCATAAATAATCGAATAGATTAAAAGAAAAAGATTTTATTTGAAAAAGGTGATTACGAGGATCTTAATAAATTCTTTTTCGATATTGATTGGCGTAATCCAATCAATGAATTAGCAGATTTAATATTTTAATTTATATTTATTATCTGAATTTATTGACAACAAGTCGTACTCCAAGTTTCAAAACCGAGTTCCCAGAGATTATAAATTTTAAATCAAGACGATCAAAATATAGGTAAAATAGAGCTTTCGTAAATACGAGTTTAAACATGCTAAAAATTTAAAAGCTAAACCAAAGCATATATAAACAGTCAAAGTTGAAAAATTTTTTAATTTTGCCTAAAATCATTTCCAATCCCTTTTTAAATTATTTTCAACAAGTTATTTAAATCTGGAATTGTACCTGATGTTTGGCTCAAAGCAAATGTAATTCTGCAGTTTAAGAAAGGTTGTAAACTTGGCCCATCTAATTATCGTCCGATATCATTGACGAATATTAGATATGTAGCTATGAATTTTTTAACTTCAAGAAGTTAAACAACTCATACTTACATATTACGTCATATTTATATATCTAATAATCAAGATTTTAGCTACAAAAAAATTTCAACTCATCTTTATCATTGTTTTTTGTTAAACATGGCTTTTAAAATGTCACGTTTTTCAAAAAAAGACGCTCATTCGTTACCTCCCCAGTGGCGAGCTAATTCATTCCAGATAACATTGACACAGTTCTTATAAAATAAATATAGAAATTTAAATGAAATTTTAAAATATAGATGATTATTTTTAAAGTATAATTTTATTGATATTTCATATTCATATTGCAGTATATATAGTGCATTATGAATATGAAAAATATTATAATATTTTTAGGCATTATGGTAATTTTGCGAAAAATTTAAAAGACATTTAATGTAAAAATGTATAATTCTGAAATGCTGCAAAATCTAGATTTGTAATTAAGTCATCTCCTACCAGTAGCGGAAAGTTCTTGCAGTTGTTAAATTTTTTGAGCTTAGCATTATTTTTTCCAGTGTAGAGAAACGAATTAACTTTATTAGATCTTGGCGAAAATCGTAAATTTAAAAAGATAGCAGAAAGCAAAAAAATAAACAAAAATCTGTATCAAAGTAGTTATTATAAAGTTTTTTTACAAAGTTTTAGCAAACGTTATTTTGACTAAAGTTTTGTATAGTGTTTCTTTCTTAATCTCTAACATAAATATACGGACAATTTAGTTAGTAAAATAATATTTCTATTTTATTTGAAGAGTTAAAAGAAACTGAATTATTACTTTAACTATAACTATTTCTGTCCAGAATGCGGCAAGAGCGTAAGCGATAACTTTGTTTTTGTGCCTGATTTTGAGACTAAATTGGGAATGATATTGGCTGCGAAGTGATTACTAAACGACGGAAGAACTTATATAGTTCTGAAGATGAAACTGGTATGGAAACGCATTAATAGATCATTAAAAAATAGATTATATTATTTTATAAAGCAATGATTCCATCAGTGGCGGATTAATATTTTTTGGGGCCCGGGGCTATTTTAAAGTAGGAGGCCCTTTTCATGGGCAACAACGAAAATGAGTAAAATAAACACTTTCTTGAAAAATCTATCGCTGATATTTATTTAAGTTTAAATTTTAAATTAAATTTTATTGAATTAAGTTAAGTGATTTCTTTCCGCTTTTCCTTTCCGCAAACTCAGCTATCACATCACTGAAATATTTAGCGGCCGTGGCGCAGTGGTCAGAGCGCTTGCTTTAAAAGCAGGAGATCCAGGTTTAAAACGAACTCTGGACATATTTTCACGGTAAGGAAGGAGGCGTGAACTTCTTAGTTAAATGCGCTTCCGCGGTGTTCTGTAACAAGACCGTTAGGTCTTCTTGGGGCACCTAAAAATAACAAAACAAAAAAAAACAACAAAAAAAGTCTTGTTGAAAATAGTTTTTGTACTATTTTCAATTAGACTTATATTTATCGATAAATTTTAAGTTTCATAGTATTATCTCTCAGCGCTCAAAAATTATGACCATATAAAGTTTAACCCCCCCCCCCCCCCCTTAGTTTGAGAAGTTTGCAAATTTTATATGGTCATAATATTTGAACGCTGAGAGATAATACTATGAAACTTAAAATTTATCAATAAATATAAGTCTAGTTGAAAATAGTACAAAAACTATTTCATCAACTTGTTGCTCTCACGTTTGGGGCAGTGTCGGCCAAATTTTTGGAGTTTTTTTGTTCCCATGCTCCAATCATCGTACTTTTTTGCGAAGCATCCTTATTTTACATAAGTATAAACTTATAAATGTTTGGAGTTTGCTCCATGTCTGTAAGTTAGCTATCTCAAAGACCAACAAATGCTGGCACCGCCACTGCACAGGTTTGTCAATAATGATAAAAAATGTACTCACTCGAAACTTGTCAGATATGTTTAAAGTACCAACTTGGTTTTCAGAATAGTTTTTTTCAAGAAACGAGCTAATTTTTTTCGATTCATTCTCAAATCTCGTAAAGTCGTTTCGCAAGTTTTTTACAAAATCAATTAGTGAAAGTAACATAGTACTTGCTGTGTCTAAATCTAATTCAACTTTTTGATGAAATTTGCTTACTTCATTAAACCTCATTAGTATGTGATGCCCAAGTGCAGCCATGAATGCAAACTCTAGCTTAGTGCTTTATTTGTATCAGCTTTCCTTTCAATAAATCCCATCTGTGTGTTGAAGCTACAAAAATTGAGTACAAACTCTGCAGAACGCCAAAAGTTGATAGAGCTGATGCACTTACTGATACTGCACTGCCCTACTAAGTTTAAAGAATGTCTAGCGCAGGGGATATAAAAAGCTAATTCACTCCGCTCTTTAAACGTGCTTTTAATCCAGAATATTTACCAGACATATTGCTAGTAGCTCTATTTAAATAACATTTTATCTCCTATATCAAATAATGCATATCATATGCCTGTCTATGTCTTATCTAACGATAATGCATATCGTATGCCTGTCTACGACAATTGCTTATATCATTATCATATTTTTCCAGTAGATCTAAAATGTCAGTAATCAAGGATTTACCTTTATCTTTTAATTTGTAGAAAACAAAAAAACATTAATATTTAATACAAAAACTTATTTGATTTTAACTCTTTCTCCCTTTTTTTTGATACACATTTGAACTCTCTTGAAAAGGTTATCACAGCTGGAATGGACAAGACTGTCATGAATTTAAAAACAAACATTGACTAATAAGACCAATTATATTTTTCTTTGACTAATAAAATCAATTAAATTACTGCGTTTCGCATAGTAACTCCATGCAAAGAAATCCAATAGGTTTTAAACTGCTGGCGAGCCATTCTAATAAGATTTGATATAGGAGATAAAATGTTATTTAAATAAAGCTACTGGTTGATTTTAACTCCTCTATCAAAACATTTCAGTTGGAATTTTCCTTTCTTGGAGAATGCACCAAAATCCATAACCCTGATGCATAAGATCATAACAGCATAACTGATAACCTAAAATTTCGTGGGTTCTTTTGCAAACTTAATCCATAAACTCAATAACTTTTTCTGTCAAGGGAACGCTTAAGCGGAAATAATTTTTAATCAGAAAAAATTATTGGTTGGTCATTGTGCCGTTTTTTCATCATTTTGCATCTCTTATCACGCTCAAGCTTAATTCGGTTTGCTAGACGAGTAGATAATTGTTTTTTATATGCTTTCATTCCTAAGTCTGTTTTAATCAAATTTCTGATGTTTTTGAAATCGGTTTCAAATTCTTTTACAATTGATGTTGCAATTGAGTCAAATGGGTTGAATCTAATTTGTTCCGAATAGTTGTTATAAACTTTTTGGTATGAACCACTATTTTTCTCTCTGGTCTATTTGGTAGAATTTTATCTCCAGTTTTCTTAAAACGTTTTATGACACAATATGGTAGAGCGGGGCTAGTTGAGCAATTTTTACTAAATCTAACAGATCTCATAAACGGTGCGTCGGATTTACATAATTTTTTCAATATTTGAAAGTTAATTTAACCTGCTAAAAATTGTTAAGAAAAAAGTACAGTTTTGGACTTTTTTGAAAAGATATTGTCTAAAGTTTGCGGGATAAGTTGAGCAATAGTGTGTGATAAAGATGAGCAATAGTGTTGTGCAATCAAGAAATAAATGAATATGTATGGTACGAAACTTCGGTGAATCATCAATAAAACTTTCACTAATTTTAAGCACGTGTATAATTTATAAAGTTTTTATTTTATACATTTTAATGACGTAAGTAAGAAAATAGAAAAAATTAAATATAAAGAAAGGGTAATAAAATAAAAAAAATATTATTTTATACAACTATCTTAAACTTTGAAGCCTGATTTAAAAATTACTAATTAAAAAAAAACAAAAAAACAATGTACCGCTCTATTATTTCTCATCAAAGTTGTTTCTTTGTGTTCGATAGTTCAGTTTTATTTATTTTTTTCAAAGCTGTTCAAAAGCTTTCAAAACTTACCCCTACTAGACAAGGTTACGCATTAGTTAGGTTTTAAAGAGAACAGTAAGACTTAAGAAAAAATGATTAATTTTAATTAAAAGATTGATATATTGGTAAAATATCAACACTTAATTGATGACAGATAAAAAAAGTTTATAAGCATACAAGAGAAAAATAGCAAATAAAATATTTTCCTCTATTTTGGTCCAAAATAGAAAAAGTTCCCGTGTATCTTACTCAATAGTTTTTCAGCAATTTTGCTTTTTTCAGCTCTTGATACTTTGTGTTAACATCTGGCCCTTAAGTTCTCTGCTTGTAGAGTATTCTGCAACTTTGTCAAGAGAAACGAATAATCTACAATAGACTCTATAAATATCTAACAGAAAACAAAATTTTAAGTGAATATGAGTACGGTTTTCTAACGAATCATTTAACGGAACAAAAAATCATAGACTTTATGAACAACACCAGCTCATCTTTTGATAAAGGAAAGTTTGTATTGGGAGTCTTTATTAACCTTACAAAAGCTTTGGATACGGTCAAACCATAAAGTTCTGATTGAAAAAATGAAAAAGTATGGTATAAAAAACAAAACTATTAAATGGTGTATCAGTTATTTAAACAATAAGCAACAACGTGTCGATAATATTTCTAATTCAAAGCTAATAAAAACAAAATTTGGTGTACTTCAAGGATCAATTCTTGCCCCCTTGTTATTCCTTAAATACATTATTGACCTTTCTACAAGTTAAAATACATTAATGACCTTCCTACAAATCTTGATTGCATAATGTTTGAAAATGATACAAATCTGTTTTATTCATCTTCTTCTATTGATAACACAAAAGCAACTGGTAACTTTACCGTTCCCCCCCAAAAAAACTCTCAATTCTCCATTTCTTATCTTAAAAACATAAAAAAAAAAAATGCACACACAAACCATAATACAACTAAAAAAAACAAAACCAAATTTTATAACAATAATATTTAAAATATTTGTGCATAAGAATCACAATGTTTATGTGTATCTTGCATAATATCCCAAGGTTCTCGATGATAAGAATTATTCAGTCTTCTACGAGTTCCCTATAACAATATAATCTATCTTATCAAGTCTTTTATAATATATTATGAAAGACTTGATAAGATAGATTAATAATAACTAATGCTTCCTAAATTTAATTTTTTTGTTATATATATTTTAGCAGTATTTGGTTAAATATAATCTTTTGTAACGGAAGTATATTTTGCTAATATTATGATGTGTAAAAAAATTGCAATTAATATTCACAACTGTGAATATATTTATATATATATATATATATATATATATGTATATATATATATATATATATATATATATATATATAATATATAATATATATATATAATATATAATATATATATTATATATTATATATATATATATATATATATATATAATATATAATATATATATTATATATATATATATATAATATATATATTATATATTATATATATATATATATATATATATATATACAATATATATATATATATATATATATATATATATATATATATATATATATATATATATATATATATATATATATATATATATATATATATATATATATATATATATATATATATATATATATATATATATATATATGTATATATATATATATATATATATATATATATATATATATATATATATATATATATATATATATATATATATATATATATATATATATATATATACATATATATATATATATATATATATATATACAGGCCCGCCGCGTCCCTTTATGACGCCTGGGGTCAAAGTTTATCTAGTGCCCTGTCATATTGACCTAATCAAAAAAAATTTAGGTACTCTCCAAATGCTAAGTTTTTTTTTCGACTGTAATTACTTCCTCGGCCTCTTAAAGTGAGTTTTAAAAGGTTTCACTTTTTAAAACTCACTTTAAGAGGCCGAGGAGGTAATTACAGTCGAGAAGGCTTCTATATATTTTTTAAATAAATTTGAAATAAAGGTAAAGAAAGAAGCACAAGTTGTCAAATGAACTTTATTATATTGCGAGCAACTGTAAATTTTAAATGTAATAGATATTTTAAATGCTTTATAAGAATTTGACTCTCCAGGCTTTATTTAAAGCAAAATTTGCAATGACCTCGTCGTAGCACAGACTTTTTGCTAGATCGTGCTCAATAGATATAACTAAGAGATTGGTAAGCCGGTCTTGACTCATTGTAGATCTTAGTGTTGTCTTGACTAGACCAAGCTTGCTGAAAGACCGCTCTCCTTCGGCGATGGAAACGGGAATTATGTTAAAAATACGTAATAAAATGCATGTTGATTCGAAGATAGACTCTAGACCTTTTTGATAGATTCCATTTAATAGTTTCATTGAAGTGAGATATTCTTTTGGACCGAAAAGATTGGCACGCTTCAGAGTATTCTGATGAAAAAGTTTTCCTCTTTCTTGTCCTTTTTTGAACTAGTTTTGACTGAAACCCATAACTAGCTAGACCGGAGGCAACTAAATGTGCTTCATTAATTAATTCGGGCCAAGAAGATCTAAGTCTAGTAAGATCCTCGATAAGAATCTTCATAAGTTTCATCTCATCATCTAAAGTAATGTCTTCTGATTGAAATGACACGCTGACATAGTTTATTGCTTGAAGCGCTTTGAACCAGAAGGTTGTCATGATAATAAACTCAAATAACTGAATCCATTTCTCTAAAGATTTTACGTCAATCAATAGATCAGCAGTTAAATCAAGATCACGAAGTTTCTGCAAAGATAAAAGGATTTCTCTGGGTTGCTTAACCAAAGGCTTCACAGCCTCAATGCGTGCACTCCATCGGGTTTGTGAAGTTTGATGTAGAGACAAACCAGTCATCTCGGTCAACATTTTTCATCGTATAGGGCTTCCACTAAAAAGATTGTAGAGTAACTGAATACGACCGAAATAGTTCTTCATTTCTACAGAAGAATCAAGGGAATGAACACCAGCTAAATTAAGGTTATGAGTGCTGCATGGCATGTAGAAAGCTTGAGGATTTCTCTGAAGAATGATCGCTTGTACTCCTATGTAACACCAGACATATTAGCACCGTTGTCATATCCCTGACCTCGACAGTTCTTCAGATCAATGTAATTTTGATCTAAGACATCTATAATTAGCTTAGCAATATCCACACCTTTCTTTTTATCAAGACTTTCGACCCCAAGAAAGCGCTCCTTAACTACCCATTTTTTTTCAATACCATAGTAGACAAAGCGGAGAACAAATGCAATTTGCTCAGTATGAGAGACGTCAGGCGTTCCGTCAACAAGAATAGAATAGTAAATTGCCATATGCGCCTCTTTAATGATGGCACCGTAGACGATTCTTCCGCACTCTTTTATAAATTCATTTTGAGAACTCCAACCCAAATAATGCGCAATAATTTGATTACCTTCTTGTTGGCAGCGAGAAACCTCTTCTAGATGTAACTAAAGAATCTTGTTGTGCTTTGCGAGTAGCTCTAGATTTGCAAGAAAATTGCCGTTATCGTTATCACCGATCATTTTTGATGAGCCTAAAATATCGATTTTAATTGCACATATAAATCATGACTTTCTGTTTAATAATAGTAAAAATAAATTGTAACGTAAACATAAATATAATAATTAATGTTCACAAATATACCACTGAAGCTAAGGTTGCGTGATGCTAAGAAGAGAATTACATCTAAAACGCACTTTAAAATTTCACGCCACCCGGCTGTCTCATTTCTTATCAATTTTTCTAAACTTGAATCAATCCCACATTAATTTGTTTTCCACTTAATGTAGTTGTCTCGATGGTAAGGATTGTTTTGGTGGCTTTTTACTTTTTCAGCTAGCTTTCTCCAATTTCCATTGATGCCACCATTCCATTTGATTCACCATTCGTAGAAGATGTGAATTATTATCAGCCCCGCAGGCTTGTTTGCTTCCGAAAAGTGAGCACGGAAAGCAAAGAAATGATTTTGAAGTAGCACTCCAAACAAGCCAATCTCTGTTTATTTTCTCCCCATTACGAGTTATTTCGTGGAAAACTGATTTAGGAACCTTAATCTTGTTCGAGTCTCTCGGAAAAGATAAAGGATTTTTAGGAGGCCCCTGAAGAACAACTGCATCGCGTTCTACTTTGGACATATTTTCAGCCCACAAAGCAGGATCGTTTGTAGTATTTGCCTCACCCATCTTATCTTTATGCTAATATTTTAAATAAAGATTTTAATAAGTATATAATTTTCACAAATTCACAAAAATAATTAAAGAATCTTTGCGAAGCAAATTTTACCAAAATATTGTTTTCATTTTCAACTCTTGTTGCCGACATTGCCAACGTGCCACTCGAAGGAGGAAGTGGTTCTTCTGAGTTCAACAAAATTTTATAAGACTCATTTTCAAAGCTATCCTATAGAAAATTAAGTAAAATATTCAAAAATGTCTTGATTTATATAATAATAGTATAATAGGAAAGATATAAAAAAAAAAGGTTATGTTTAGATAAATGAACGTATACCACAATCTTCGAGTGTACGTTTATTTTTTTGCTCATTTGCTGTCCTATTTGCCGCATTTTTTCTGTTTTGACAGCCAGAATATTTTTTCTTGTAACTGAACATGTTTTGTTTTTAAGAAAGTTTTGAACTTGATTGAAAACTATTTTTATGATACTTAGCGAAACTATATTAAATCTAAGAATCTCAATTATACAATGTACTTTAACCTAATTTATTTATATTTTCTATACATATATATATTTTATATATATATATATATATATATATATATATATATATATATATATATATATATATATATATATATATGTATATATATATATATATATATATATATATATATATATATATATATATATATGTATATATATATATATATATATATATATATATATATATATATATATATATATATATATATATATATATATGTATATATATATATATATATATATATATATATATATATATATATATATATATATATATATATATATATATATATATATGTATATATATATATACATATATATATATATATATATATATATATATATATATATATATATATATATATATATATATATATATATATATATATATATATATATATATATATATATATATATATATATATATATATATATATATATATATATATATATATATATATATGTTCTTTATAAACAAAGCAGCTCTTACAAATATTTTCCCGCATAGGTTTTGACTAGACTCAGTACCCAGTGCCCCCCCCCCCACACACGCGGCGGCCCTATCTATCTATCAAAAGTTACCAATTTCTTGGATGTTTGCATTGATGAAAACCTCACATGGAAAAATAATGTTAACAATCTAAACAACAAAATTGCTAGAAGTATAGGAATGCTGTACAAATCAAGAACTTTTTAAAGTAAATATACTTTAATTCAATTATATTACTCATTTTTTCATTGCCATATTAATTATGCTAATACTGCATGGGGTGGTGTAAGTAAAAGTATACTAGAACTTCTTTATCGTCAATAGAAGCATATTGCACGTATAAATTTCAAAGACCGTTTTACTCATGCCCTGACCGTCTCTTTTACTTAAAGCGAATATTCATAATGTATAATACACATTAGAAATATTCGTTTTTAGTAAAAGAGAATATTCATAATGTATAATATACATTATGAATATTCGCTTTAAGTAAAAAAGGCCTCTTATACTTAAAGCAAAGAATATTATAGATATTACGTTGATATACATTGTATATCAACATAATGTCTATAACATTATTTGTTCTATGTGTAAGAGGCCTCTTTTACTTAAAGCGAATATTCATAATGTATATCAACGTAATGTCTATAATTTTCTTTGCTTTATGTATAAATGTAAAACTAACACTTCCGTTTATCCTTTTGATAATTTATACTTACATAAAAAAACAAACAAATACTATCGTTGAAATGAAAACTTTATCCAGGCTTGCACAGACACTTTATGGTGCCCGGGGTATATTATTAAAAAAATTTACTGGATGCCCCCCTCTAACCACCACGAAAATAAAAATAATAAGAAAAATGAAAAAAAAAATAAGCTACTATTTCTAGCATTCACAAAATATTTTTAAAGTTCTGTATTTAAGATATTTCACGAATCAAACAATTAAACACAACACAACAAAGAAAAAAAAATATTTCTCGATTTGGTTTCAAGTTTTTTTGACGTTATACCAAGACTTTACAAGCATTTCTAGCAGCAAAGTTGGAAGTTACAACATTGTAATTAACTTTTTTTGCAAGATCTGTTTTGATTGAAAAGATAAGACAGTCTTTAAGAAGATCCTATTTTCTTCGAATCCCTTCGCATAAATGCTTATCAGAAAATCTAAGGGCCAATTATTTGTCAATAGATGGTGTCGAACAGACGAAAAGTGGTGGAACTTATCAATAAATTCGTCTTCACTAAGATCATTTAAATACAGAAGTACGAAATCATTAACTTTAGATTCTTAACTGTTTGTTAAGTCCGAATTGATATCAGGCGTAAACCAGATAAAGGAAAATAATCAACATTGCTGTTTCAGAGCTTGAAATTTCTCTATAATCTGATGGATGAAGGTATCTAATCCAGAGTTGAATACGTCTACTTCAAATGCTTTTGATGTATTATTTTGATAATGAGATTCATTGTGAAACGTTTTTGCTTCTCCTTCTTCTTTTTTCAACAAAATCAGTTTTGAAACCAAGGTTAGTTGCTACTTCTTTTGACTCGTCCAAGATGGCATCCCAGGAGGAACGAATTTGCATTAAATCTTCAATCAGTCCATCTATAAGTTTCATCTCGCCATCCAAGCTGATGCTGCGGGATTGAAAAAGGACGCTAGCATTGTTCACAGTTGTCAATGTTTTGAACCAAAAGGTAGTAAAAATGACAAACTCAAAAGACTTTATCCACTTGAGAAGAGAATGTATTATATTTAAAACGTCAGCAGTGAGATCCATTTCTTTCAGTTTTTTTTAAGGCTTTAATTATCTCTCTCGGTCTCTTTGAAAGTGGCTTTATAGATTCAATTCGAGCGCTTCATCTTGTCTGTGAAGTTTGGTGTAAAGAAAGGCCAGCAAGATTCTGAAAGATTTTACAACGTGTTGGATTTTTGCTGAAAACATTTTATAAAAGCTGGACATTTCCAAAGTATTTTTATGTCAATTCCGTTTTCATGTAGAACAGTAAGGATCAGATTGGCAATGTCGACTCCTGCCTTCTTCTCCATTTCTTCTAGTTTTAAAAATCGGTATTGCTGCTCCCACTACCGTTCCTCACTAAGGCGAAAGAAACAAAAAAGAAAGCAGATATTTTCACAGTGTAAACGGTCCGGCGTTCCGTCAGTTACGATAGGGTAGTAGATGGCCCGATGTATTTCTTTCACAGTTTGAATCCCTTGGAAGGTCTGCATGACTTAAAGGAGGGCCTATCAAAACGATAGTATCTTTATTTTTATTTGATAAAGCAGTTTAAAGAGCTGGGTTGTTAGATATGTGATTGGTTAAAATGACTGGAGTAGAATCCACCTTGTCTATGCCACGGTCTTCATTATCCACTTCTTGAAATGTATATAAATAAAAATGAAAACATAAAACATCTTTTAAATAATAGAACTTTTTTTGAATTATAGAATGCTATACCTGCAGAAATGTCATCATTGTTGATGAGGATTGCTTGATAGTCTTCAGTAGCTTCACTTAGCCAGGCCTGGTCAATTTTGACTATAGGTTACCGGATACATTTCTTGATCTTCATTTAAATGATTATTAGGACTGACTTGGCTCTGGCGCACTGAATGCACTGAGCTAACACTCCAACTATCCTTACACAATAGTTGTGATTTGTAAGAGAGATGTGTTGGATCACTACTGCTTTCAGAACCAGATTTAAATCTTAAAGCCTATAAAAAGAAATATATTTGAATATATCATAAAATGTATTATTTGACATTAAAAACAATCAAGCAGGAATGTTATCTGATTACTATACAAAATGATGAAAGACCTACCTCAATTTGGCGATGAGGTTCTTTTTTCTTATTGTTATTTTTTACAACTACAGTGGTCGGCCATCACATAAGGACCAGCTGTAATTTTTTGTAAATATCGTGTAAAAATAAATTTTTTGGCAAAAAGAAAAGTAATGGTGTAATTTAAAGCTTGTTCTTTTATTTATAAAGTTATACTTGATGAAAAATAAACAAATAAAATTAAACATTTTGAATATTTATTGGTTATTACTATAAATTATAAAAAATATATATTAAGTATTATTATTTTGTAAAACCGCCTTTATTTGCAATAACTGCTTCGACTCGTCGTGGCATGCTTGCAATTGAATTTTTTATAGTTTCTGTCAACTCTGGGTTATTGTGCCAGATCCTGATAATATATTCCATAAGATCTTGCTTGTTAGTAAGAATTTTTTTTGCAATTCGCACTTTACTATTTCCTAAATGTTTTCTATGGGGTTAAAATCAGGTGAGTTGCCTAACCATGGCAATACATCTAAATTTTTCTGTTTTAAAAAAGCCACAACACTTTTTGCTACGAAGAAAGTTCCACCATCTTGCATAAATATGAGGTTTTTTGACAATTTGGGCTTTTTAATTTTTTTGACATTTTTAGACCAATGGGCCATTTGAGGAAGCAACTAGTTTACCAGAACTTCTTTATAGTGGTCCTACCTTATGGTCCAAACTATATTGTAGAGACGCCCTGCTCCTTGCCCACAAATGACAGACCAGATCATTACTGAAGCTGGATGCTTGACTGTTTCCACAATGTAGCCAGGATGAAACTTTTTGTTTGTTCTACGACGAACAAAAGCTGTTTTGTCCATCATTACTTGAAAAGTTGATTCATCAGAGAAGCAAATCTAAAATAATGCTTATTTTAAATTATAATATTTATGAATATATTTGAAATAGTTTATGAGTATGAATGCGAATAAAATTACTTTTTCCCAATCCTCAACAGACCAGTGACGATAGTTTCAAGCCCACTCCAGTCTCTTTTTTTTCATGAGTGAAGTCAGTTTTGGTTTCTTGGCTGGACAATGATACATCAATCTCTCTTCCTTCAGCCTTCTGCAAATGGTCCGGTCTGACACAGCAATACCAGCTTCATGGATAAGCTTAGTCAATACACTTTGTGGCTTTTTTCTGTTTTCCAGGCATATATTTTAGATAATACGATCCGCTCTTGGTGTTGTCTTTTGTTTAGAAGGTGGTCTCTTTGGACCAAACTCTTCCACTGTATTAATTTTTTTTCTCACTCGCATTACGGTTTGGTAAAAAACCTTTACAATTTGTGCAACTTTTTGCTGAGAATATTTTGTATTCTGTAAAAGACATCTAATTTGACTTACTTTTGTTGGTGTC